CAAAATTGAATGAAACATCCTTGGCAAGAAGATTACACAAGGGCTGAGAAATTTTGCTAAAGTCTTTGATAAAGCGACGATAGAAGTCGGCATGGCCAAGAAAAGAACGGATTTGACGGACAGAATTTGGAGGAGGGAGGTTGGAGATTAACTCAACTTTGGCTTTGTCAACCTCAATCCCCCTTTTTAAAATGACATGTCCTAAAACAATGCCTTCTTGGACCATAAAGTGACTTTTCTCCCAACTTAGAATGAGATTGGTTTCCTTTCACCTTTGAAGTACAAGAGATAGATTATGGAGACACAAGTCAAAGGAGGATCCAAAGATGGAATAATAGTCCATGAACACCTCTAAGAATTTTTCAACCATATCCGAAAATATGGACATCATACATCTTTGGAACGTTGCCGGAGCATTGCGTAGCCTAAAAGGCATGCGTCTATATGCAAAGGTTCCGAAGGGGCATGTGAATGTGGTCTTCTCTTAATCTTGTGGATCAATTGCCACTTGGTTATAGCCAGAATAACCATCAAGGAAACAATAGAAGCTTTGGTTGGCTAACCTCTTTAGGATTTGATCAATGAATGGGAGTGGAAAATGATCCTTCCTAGTAGTAGAGTTAAGTTTCCGGTAGTCAATACACACACGCCACCCGGTGGTGGTGCGTTGTGGCACAAGCTCTCTCATGGAATTTTCAACGACGGTGAGGCCAAATTTCTTGGGAATAACTTGAGTGGGACTTACCCACTTGCTATCAGAGATGGGGTAGATGATTCCCGCATCTAGTAGTTTGATCATTTCTTTTATGACCACTTCCTTCATATTGGGATTTAACCAGCGCTGCACCTCTCTAGAAGGTTTAGCATCCTCCTCCATATGGATGCGATGCATACAAAGAGAAGGGTCGATTCCTTTGAAATCAGCCACCGCCCAGCCAATAGCTTCTTTGTGCTCTTGAAGCACCGCTAAAAGGCTATTTTCTTGGTCTTGTAAAAGGTTCGATGCAATAATGACCAGAAGAGTTTGATTGACACCAAGAAATACATACTTAAGGTGGGCCGGGAGCGGCTTTAACTCAAGTTGTGGTGGAGATTTCAAGGAAGGGACCGGAGGAGTAGTAGAAAGTTAAGGAAGTGGTTTTTTTGGCATCTTCCAAGGAGGAAAATCCATGACAACACCTATGTGAAGCAACGAATTTACTTCTTGGATGGCTTGATCAATATCAAAGTTCGAGAAATCAAAGTGAGACATGCAAGTTTCCAAAGGATCTTTGCTTAGAATGAAAGGGAGAGATTCTTCGATCACTTTATCTACCACATCAATAAGAAAACAATTATCCTTATTGAAAGGATGTTGAGTTGCATGGAAGATGTGGAGTTTGATTTGCATATTGCCAAAGGCAATGTTCATCACCCCAGTTTGGTAATTAATTGAAGCGTTAGCCGTAGCTAAAAATGGCCTACCGAGGATCACAGGAATATGCTTATTTGGGTCATGGATCGGTTCCATGTCAAGAACCACAAAGTCTACCGAGAAGTAGAATTTTTCCACTTTGATAATGACATCCTCATGAATGCCTCGTGGGTGCTTGACCGTTCTATCGGCAAGCTGTAAGACCATAGAAGTTGGCTTTAGATTTCCCAACCCAAGCTGTAAGTAAATTGAATATGGAATCAAATTTACACTAGCTCCTGAGTCAAGGAGGGCCCTTTCTATCTTTTTACCGCCAATGACATCCGAGATAGTTGGGGCACCTGGATGTTTATACTTTGGAGGAGCACTGTGTTGAATGATTGCACTCATATTTTCAGTTAATGTCACTTTCTTTGGCAAATGATTTTTGGAAGTGCGCTTTTGAGTGCACAAATCCTAGGGAGGGATTTGCTTTATAGCATCCAAGAGAGGCAAGTTAATCTTTACTTGCTTGAAAACTTCCCACATGTCTTAAATTTTACAATTCTTATTCCCAAAATGTGTCGACTCTTGGAGTCGTTGAGGAAACGGAGCCTTAGGCTAATAAGACGTCTCCACATTTGGGTTGACAAACTTGGAATTTTCAGCATTCGACTTTGAATTTTGAGGAGTGAACTTTGGATTAGAAGAGAGGAGATTTGGATTTTTGGGAGGAAGAACTTTGTCATTGCTGCTTCCATCAACCTTATTGTCCACAACTCAACCACTCTGAAGGGTAGTGATTGCTTGGACTTGTTTATGAGTTGGCCTATTCAGAGGAGGGGTTTCATTAATCACATGAATCCCTCTAGGATTCTCAAATAGTTGAGCAGGAAGCTTCCCTTTATCTCTTTGAAGGAGTTAGTTCATTGAAGCGGCTATTTGCCCCACTTGATTCTCAAGTTTAGCAATAGACTAAGTGTGGGAATAAACCGTTTGGAGAGTGGGCTGCAAAGATGACAAGAGTTGCTTGTTGGAATCCATCATTTGCTTATTTAATGATTCCATCATTTGCTTGTTTGCAGCCAAGATTTCATCGGTTGGAAACACAGGAGGATGAGTAGAGACATTTGGATTGTAAAGAGGACAGTAACTTGAAGAGGCCTGAAATGGCCTATTTTGAAATTGAGAAGAGGGCTGATTTTGCTGCCCTTGATTTTGAAATTGCGAATTTTATAGGGCTTGTTGCCTCCACGAGAAATTCGGATGATCTCTCCATCCCGGATTGTAAGTATTGGAATATGGATTATTTTCAGGCCTTGAGAATATCGCATTTGCTTGCTCTTGATTGGGATTAGGAAATTGTTCCTGTGTGGGACAATCTTTTAAGAGATGGAAAGGACTAGTGCATGATGAACACATCGAACTAGCTGAATTTTGAGACAGGGAAGGAGAGAGATGTGGTGCCATCAATTGATAGAATTTATGAGCTATGGCATCCACTTGAGAAGATTCCTCCCTCATGGTTTTGGGTTGACAAGGGTTGGTGTTTTTTATGTTGGTTGAGGTTAGAGCACTACGAGAATTATGCTGCAATGAGTTCTCACTCAAATTCTCAAGTAAAGTCCATACCTCATCCGCACTTTTAGACATGAACATCCCTCCATAAGATGAGTCAACCATGAATCTATGTGGGTCAGTTAACCCAGCATAGAAGGCTTTCACCAATTACCATTTTGGAATTAGGTGGTGCGGACATTTCCTTAAGAGGTCTTGAAATCTCAAGTCTCATGGAGTTGTTCCCCCTTGCTTTGTGAAAAACTAAGAATGGAACGCCTCATTAAATTGGTTTTACTCACTAGATAATATTTTTTTAGGAATTCTTGTTGCAATTGAGCCTAAGTAGTGATAGAATTTGCAGCAAGGGAGTTCAACCAATATTTTGCCCTTTCTTTTAAGGAGAATGGGAAGAGATGCAAATGGAAAGCATTGTCAAGAAAGCCCCTCAGCTTGATGGTAGAGCATATTTCAAGGAATTCATCAAGGTGCTTATAAGGGTCCTCATTTTCAAAGCCATGAAAAGATTGAAGCATTTGGATGGTGCTAGATTTGATTTCATATTAAATGGCCTCAATATTTGGCATCACTATGCAAGAGGGAGAAGCATAAGTGGTAGTGATGAAGTGGTCCCTAAGAGTCATGGGAACCACGTTTGGAATTTCAGCTCTATTATTATGGATTCCCTCATTTCTGACATCTCCAACATTTTCAGCCATTGTGTTAAATTCAGTTTCAAGTTCTCTTATGCTAGTAGATTCCCTAAGGTTTCTTCTAAGAGTTCTTTCAAGTGAATTTATGTCAACTGGCGAGTCAAGCGTTGGTAAGGAAAGTGACCTACGGCCAAACATCAATAACACATAGCATAATCAAAAGAACAATTCATCACCATCATCTCCACATACGATGATCCCTTTCTCCTTAATTATCAATACAGAAATTAAATGGCCACGACAAGGACCGATGCTTGCAATATAGAAAAACAAAAATAGCCTCGACAAGGGCTTCATAACTTAACTATATCTAAACTAAATGTATGCAAGATATTCACAACTTTGAAACTAGAGTTTCAAAAACTTACCTGAAGTCGTCTAGACTTACAAATTTGCTAGCTTTCCTCAGCAAGCCTTGAATATCTAGAATCTCACAAACACTTAAAATGTCACAATGATCAAAACAACATAAGAAAATATTCACAAAACATAATATTGACAATCAAACCAAAGGTAATCCTAAAACCTCGGTTGCAAAACCGTTTGCAGTCCCCGGCAACGGCGCCAAAAATTGATTGGCATGATAATTATACATCAACCTTTGCAATAGCATAAATCATTGTAAAATAGGACTATTAGTCGGGTAAGTCGAACCACTGGGACTGCTAGTTTATGGCAACTAAGATATCTAGAATCATTTTTAGAATGATGAAAGGGTTTGTAGAGTTTTGTTGGTTTGTCACTAAAATTAAGAATTAAAATGCATAAAACACTAAAGTAAAAAGGTAAAGATAAACAATAAGGGACTAGGGAAGTGAATCCACCTTCAACCCTATACACATGCTAGACAAAGACTAAATTGGGGATCGACAATATATAATGGTCAAGAATTATATAGCAACACATGATTGTCGTATAATCATCAAGAAGTTCATTAAATCAAAAACAAGAATGATCCATCAAAAGTTTATACATTTGAACTACCTAAACTAGAGTGTAGCATCAAGCATACTCTCTTAAGCAAAAGATCATCAAGCCTTTAATCAAATGATAAAGCACATGAAACTAGGAATCAAGCATAAACCATTAAAGGAAATACCTAAGCGATAGACGAGGCTTCTTCCTCCTCCCCTCCGCCGGCAGTGAAGGACCGGCCCTCTCCTCTACCAGTAACTCCTCCTCATCACTCATGGAGAAGTTGTTTTGAAGAGAGTGAATCCAACTCCTTTATTAATTTACGTTATATTACACCCGGTATTGGTTCGAAGGTTACGATCACTAAAGAGGATGTTTCAAAGGAAATAGAATATTGGAAATCCTCAGTTGTAGGATATGTGATGGGCAAGCGTCCATACTACCCTCATTTCAAAGCTTTCATTGAGAAGCACTGGTCTAAGGATGTTACATTGGTGTACTTGAAAAATGGTTTCTTTTTGGTACGATTTCAGCACGCAATGGATGTACAACAAGTATTGTCATGCATTCATACTTTTGAAGGCCGAGCCATCATCATCAAAAAATGGAGTAAGAATGTTGTTCTTCAGAGAGAAGATTTTGATACGTTGCCACTATGGATTCGAGTGTATGATCTTCTTATGCATTGCCGTAACTCTACTTCAATCTCGAAGGTATGTTCAATTTTCTCAACACCAATTTATATGGATGATCCATCTTTACACCGAGATAAAAGTCAGTTTGTGAGGGTTATGGTGGAGGCTGATGTGTGTAAGGAGCTGCCAGAGAATTTGGTAGTTGATATTCATAGAGAAGATTGTGCAGTTTTTATTGAGTATGAATGGAAGCCTATTATTTGTTCCTTATGTAAACGTGTTGATCATGTTGCTGCGAGATGTCCTCAAAGAGTTTTAGAACAGGAAAAGCCTAAGAAACAAATGGTAGATAAATGGATTGTTAAACAAAAAGGGAAAATGGTAGAGTTTGAAGATACGCAACAAGTATCTGTTGAATTACCTGTGAGACCGATCCAAAGTTCTCAGGTGGTTACCCATAACTCCTTTGCATTATTAGATCAGGTGGTTGTTAAAGAGATTGGTGAAGGAGAGGATCATGTCAATCAAGTAGATTTGCTTCAAGGAGAGATAGATAACATGATCAAACATGATACTATTCCTGTTGTTGTTGAGCAGGTCACCATTATTGTGGAGAGTATTGATACAAGGGTAATTAGTGAGGGAGATACTCATATTATGGAAGTTGGTGCTAGTGTGCCAGTTGAAAATAGTAAACTACAGGTGGATTCAATCACTGAACTTGGTAGGGACTTAAGTAATTTGGCTCCTGTAGGTACAGATGCTGATAGTAACAAATCTCATATTACTGCAAAGGCTACTGACAGAAAGATGGAAGCTACAGAGACACTTGTTACCCCTTCTCAAAGTGAAGGGGGGATAAGTAAAAAATCTAGGTATAGAGCTGTATCAGCCTCTAATCGAGTTACTAGAAGTCATGGAGGGGTTCCTGCCCCGAATTTAACCTCCAAATGATTGTGTTCTGGAATGTTAGAGGCTTAAACAAACCTAGAAGACAGAGAGAGGTTGCTCATTGGATTTCTAAAGAAGCTTCTCAATTTGTCTGTTTTGTGGAAACTAAAGTTCAGAAATGTGCTTTTGTTTCTATTTCTCGAAGAATCAAGAATAGTTGGGATTAGGTTCATAATTATGATGCTCATGATTATGGTAGGATTTGGGTGGGGTGGAATCCAATCTTATTTGATGTTCAGGTGCTAGATGTGCAGATTCAATGTATGCTACTTAAGGTGAGAGTTTTGGAGACTAGGGAGATTTTCTTTTGTTCTCCAGTGTATGCTCTAAATTTGGATAAAGATAGGATTGCTCTATGGAACTTTCTGGAACATTACTCTACTTTTGCTACTGGCCCTTGGATGGCTTTAGGAGATTGGAATGCTATTAGATTTCACAGTGATAAGAAGGGGGGGAAAAAAGTGCCTCAAAGAATTCTTAATGATTTTAATGATTGTCTTCATAAAGCTGGGTTAAGTGAGGTTCATCCTACAAATGGAGAATGGTCATGGTGTAACAGACAGGTTTTTCTTAGGAGAATTTTTGTGAAATTGGATAGGGTTTTCTTGAATGAGAGGTGGATATATAGTTTGCCTGGTACTAAAGTTCTATATACATCAGCTGCTTGCTCAGATCACTATGGTATGTCTATTCACATTTTAATGGAGTTTGCTGCTGGACCTAAGCCTTTTAAAATGTTGAAGGTGTGGTGTCTACAAGGATGTGTCCAATCTCTTGTGAAGAAAGCATGGGACAATGAAATCTCTGGTAATCCTATACATGTTCTTTTGCAGAAATTGAGATTAGTTAAGAAAGCACTTAAGGATTGGAATAAAAATTGCTTTGGTAATATTGGTGAAAAACTAATTAAGTCTAAGCATCATTTGGATGAAGTGCAGTTGGAACTTTTGAGGGATCCTTCTGAAAATAATTTCCAAGTTGAACAAGAAGCTAGATTGGATTATCAAGCTGCTGTGGTGGATCAAGAGGTGTTGGTTTCACAGAAATCCAGAATTCTCTGGCTTAAGGATACCGACAGGTGCACTTCCTATTTTTATAATAAAATGAAGCAACATAGAAATTTCAATGCTATTACCTTAGTTAAGAATGACAGCGGATAAACCACAGAGGATATGGGGCAGATCAGAACCTGGTTTGTGGATTTTTATAAAAAATTGTTTGAAAAGAGAGATGCCAGCTTACAAGAGTTTGATTTACCTGTTAAGCAGCTGAGTGTAGAAGAGGTGGAAGGGTTGGATGGTCTGGTGAGTGAAGAAGAAATCAAAGGGGTTGTCATGGGTTTTAACCCTGATAAATCGCCTGGTCCAGATGGATTCCCAGCTTGCTTTTATCAAACTTTTTGGTCTGTGGTAGGCAAGGAAGTGGTTGCTGCAGTTCAACATTTTTTCTCATCCAGTGGTATGCCTATGGGGGTTAGTAGCTGCTTTCTTACTCTTATTCCTAAGGTGGGAAATGCAAAAAAAATGGGGGATTTTAGACCTATTGCACTTTGTAACCTGTTATATAAAGTAATTACTAAAATTATGGCCAATAGATTGGCAAGGGTGTTAAATTCATTGATTGGCCCTGAACAAAATGCTTTTGTTCAAGGAAGGAAAATTCAAGATGCTTTGATATTGGCTCATGAAATGGTCAGGGATTTTAAGGGTCGAAGGCATGCATCTATGGCTGTAAAGGTGGATATTAAGAAAGCTTATGATTCTGTTTCTTGGGATTTTTTGCTTAGGATCCTCAAAGGTTATAGATTCAGTAATGTGTGGATTAAATGGATTTCTTCCATCCTTGTATCTACTAAATATTCTGTTCTGATTAATGGTTCTCCCCAAGGGTTCTTCTAACCAGGGAGGGGTTTTAGACAAGGCTGTCCATTGTCTCCTCTGCTTTTTACCTTAATTATAGAACACCTTACCTCCATTATCAATTCTGCCGTCCACAAAAAGGAGCTCTCTGTTACTCATGCTGCAGCTAAGGTTTATCCTGTGTTAAGTCATGTATTTTTTGCTGATGATTTGTTGATTACCTACAAAGCTTCTATTTCAAATGCTAAAGTTCTTGTAGGTTTGTTCAAGAAATTTGAGAATTTAACAGGTTTACAAGTCAGTGAACATAAGAGTAGTGTCATTTTTTCAAAGGCTGTGGGGCAGAAGTTATCAATGTTAAGAATTCTGAAATGCTCTGAAGAACATTTTCCAATTATGTACTTGGGGCTTCGTTTATGTCCTTATGGTTTGAAGAAAGCAAATTGCCAGGGATTGATTGATAGGGTTTCTAATAGAATTAAGTGTTGGACCACTAAATTGTTATCAGTTGCTGGTAGAGTTGAACTCATTAGATCCACTGTTATCCCTATTTTTCTATACTTGTGTAGCATTTCTAATGTCCCTATTTATGTGATTAATCAGTTGCAAAAGATGTGTAGAGATTTCTTGTGGGGTAGCACTGATAATTCTAAGAAAATTCGTCTCCTGAGTTGGGATATGATCACTAGATCTAAAGCTGAAGGTGGTTGTGGTTTGAGGAAGCTGGTGGATATCCAATCTGCATTCAAAGTTGTTCTAGCTTGGGATTTTTTGACAAGTAAGGATAGGCTCTGGGTTTCATGGTTTAAAAACAAGTATACTCCTCACTCCACTTTTTGGACTGCTATTACTAAGGTAACTCACTCTGTCATATGGAAATCTGTTGTGGAGACAAGAGATAGTATGTTACAACATGTTGAAATTCATATAGGGGATGAAAAATCAGTTTCTCTTCAAGATCCTTGGTGTGATGGTTTGACAATGGCAAATAAATTTGGACATAGGATTTTTAGATCTTTAAATGTTCCTAGAAATGCTAATTTGGATATTCTAATGGTGAATGGTAGCTGGGATTTAAATCTCCTACAGGGACAAGAATTACAGCAGCTGAGGGAATATCTTGTGTTGCAACCTATTCACACTTCGGCTGACAAGCTTCTGTGGAATAATGGTAAGTTCTCATATAAGGAAGCTTGGAAAATTTGTAGATTTTAGGCAAAGGAAGTCAACTAGTACAAGTTCTGTTGGGGCAAAGCGACACCTAGATGGTCTGTAACTGTAGTTTTTGTGATGCTAAACAAAATTCCTTCTATGGTGAATCTCCAAAGAAGGAAGTTATGTTTGGTGTCTAGATGCTCATTGTGTCAGAGTGCTATTGATACAACAGACCATATATTTATTTCTTGTACATTTTCTAAAGATTTTTGGAGCTGGCTGGGAGAGATTCTGAAGTGGAATATGCATCAGTTTGCTGAAGTCGTGTCTTTAGCTGATCTGTTCAACTGGTTTCAGGTTGTTGCAACTGTGGGATTTCATAAAACATTGTTTCCTGCTATGCTTTGGGGAATTTGGAATGAGAGAAATGCTAGATTGTATGGTACTGCTACTGATCCATTGATTGTGGCAAAGACTTTGTTGTTAGAGGTGTTGGATATTCATAGTATCCTTCTCTCTGACCTACCTGTTTGATTTGGTGAATTATCTTTTATCAGTTTGCTGAGTTGAATGGCTGTGATAAGGAGCTAGTTTTTCTTCTGCTATTTTTTTATTCCTTTGTCATTTATGTTTTTCAGCCAGTTTTGGTTTAGGGTGGTTTTCCTCTTGTTTTGTTTTGGAGATGGATTTTTCCACTTTTTCTTTTTTGGTTTCTTTCTGTTTGGTAAGTTTGGATGTTTGTATCCAACTTTATTAGTGCCTTTATATTCTGAGGGTATGCCCTCTGTAACTCTTGTATATATTTTTTCTTCTTTTATACAACCACAATTATGAAAAAAAAAAAAAAAAAACATGCCATGAAAACCATTCACAATCTTATTTCCATTGTCACCATGAAAATGCAAGCATTATGATTGAGATAAGAAACCATCTAAGATAAGATAATTAACTTAAAACAATCATTTGTGTGCACTAAAATTCATTACATCAAGTAATATGCTCTAGATTATGAAAAGACCAAACTATACATCATTATCCCCAAAATAGAAGCTAATCTAAAACATGCTTACAAGGGAGGGCTTCATCACCTCCCTAGAGAAGGATTTAGTTACCCATAGGAACAAGAAATAAAAGAAAAGAAGCAAATCCACCCTCTATTTTCGTGCTCAAGCAAGCTAGCAACCAAAACCCTCAAGATCACTCCTTTCTCTCTCTAAAACTTAGCTAAAATGTGTGATATGAAATTTTTATAAGCCTCCCCCCTTCTCAAGTCTAAATTATTCTCCTTTTTCCCCCCTTTTCGAGCTCTAACTCCCCAGGATGAAGCTGGACTATGACGGCCCAAGTTTTTCAACCCGGTGCGTTAGTGATGAACTGAGAGATGATCCAATAACGGATCCAAAATTCGGAAGGAAAAGATAAAACAATGGTCTCTAGAGATACAACATGGCTTTAAGACACCATTATGACCCTCAACGAGGTCACGGGACCCAAAGGAATCAAATGCAGAAACAACATTTCAAAAACGGACAAGAATGCACCTAGGGGAAAAATCATCATTTCCAGCCTAAAAGTGGGTGCCACTAAGCACACCATTGGAAAGACAACGAAAAATCAATGAACTTAGACTTAAAAATCGCTTGATTCGGAGTCTGGATGAAGAAGATATGGCTAACGGAAGGAGAAGGGGCAAAGCGGTCAAAAAGATGGTAACCAAGAACATCTAACCGGTTAGGAGGCCAAAAATCACAAGAAATACACTGCCCAAGCACATGTAACCGGTTACAAAACCCCTCGTAACTGTTTACATGTGAAGGAGGTAGAATGGGCAGTCCAAAAACCTGGCAGCAGAGGTTTTTCCAGAAAAATGGAAATTTAAGGACCAAGATGACATTTTCTGGAAAAACTCAAAGAAGAAACCCCCCTCAAAAATTGAGTTTTCTATGTGTCAGGTGAGGAAAATCGAAAAATATGCAATGTAAAATGCCCAAAATGCCCTCCCAAGAAAACTTGTCCAGAGGGTCCAAAAAGCTGCTAAATTGAAAAACAGAAGCTGAACTTCGGATGCGATTTTCGATGCCAAGATGAAATTTTCTGAAAAAACACGAAGAAGAAACCCCCCCTAAAATCACATTGTCTATTCAATCCTATGAAGAACAGAATTTATTTCCCAAAGGAAATTCCCAAAATACCCTTAGGTCAGAATATGCAACAAAAACGCAAAATGAGTCCGTTGGAGGCTCAAAATACAAACGATGAGGTTTTGCCCAGAAACGACTATGCATGCAAATGTAACTTACCTATTTAGATGCGCTACAATGGTCCATGGCTTAAAAACATAGCCGATGCAAAATTCGACCCCCCAACGGCCAAAATGACAAAATGAAGCTGGAATGAAAACTTGAAACTTCAAATCATAAAATGATTTTGAAATGCCGTTTGGCCCTTGGCCACACTTCATGCATTGTTAAATGAATGCTAATGGAAGAAGTTCATACATAATGCACGCTTAGGTGCAAAATAGCATACTAAAACACATGGTTTTCCTCATTGAAGGCAAAAATTAACATCCATGACATAAATGTAATTTCAAAAGGAGTTTGGCCATTGGCTTCATGTCACATACATAAAATGAGAATCAAAAAGTGTTCTAAGGCACACGTTACAAGTATAGAAGCAAATATACACATTTGACATATAAGGTTACAAATGGCTTTTCAAGCTAACCTTCACAAGAATTGAACCCTTCAAGTTCCCAAATCATCCAGAATCTCTAACCTTGAATCCTGTACCTGAAATATGCCCCAGTATCATAGGGGTGAGTAACATAAAGCTACTCATAGGAAATGAGCATGCATCGACCTACGTTTTACAAGTTTGCATGATTAATTATTGTGGTTCATTCCACCTAACGTCTATGTCAAAAGTGAGACTCAAGGAACATCCTAGCTACCTAAGATCATTTCTAGCATCAATCACCTTATTCATGCAATTTTAGCAACATAGGGTCTTGCTTACACATAGCAACAACATAGGAGCATGCTTACACCAAGCAACAAACATAGATTCTCAAAGTCATCAATTTGAAATCTAAAGAACGAAAACGACATAAGTGATCGTGCCACCTAACGTCTATGTTCCAAATG